GTCCAACATGGGGGGTCTTAGTGTCTGAATCTATAGAGGATTTGACCCATGCTGCTCCCTGCTGTGTGTGTGTGTGTGTGTGTGTGTGTGTGTGTGTGTGTGTGTGTGTGTGTGTGTGTGTGTGTGTGTGTGTGTGTGTGTGTGTGTGTGTGTGTGTGTGTGTGTGAATGGTGTGAAGGACAATCAGGCCACCGTGGAGATGTGAAGTGGGAGAGGTGATTATGATGTGGGTATTGGAGTCCTGGATGTGAAGCCAGCCTGTTATTGCCCATAATAATGGGCAATAACAGGGAATCCACCTGATTACTTTGTTCCATGTTTGCTCTTATGTGACCTTTATATTCTCTACATCCAATACACTGGAATCTTCTCTGAGGTAGGCAGTCTCAACTACAGCAACTATACACATGGGTGACAAATTGAATGGACATACAGGGCAGAAGGGCTAACTGAATGGTTGGATTATGCAGATGATGTAAATCATATGCTGAGGCCGTTGCAGTCCCCAGCTCTCACTCCAAATGAACACCTACTGAGGGAATATTTGTCACAGATTTGGAGAATCTATGTCAAAGAGCACAGCACCTGTACTGGAGGCTCACCAGAGTTTTAACTACACTCCTCCTCCTCCTCCTCCTCCTCCTCCTCCTCCTCCTCTTAAAGGTCCAGTGTGCAACATTTAGGAGGGTCTTTATGAATCACTCAAATTTATGGAATATATAGCATCATAAAAATAAAAACACAGAACATTTTTAATGCCTTTAAAATAGCTAAGGGGTGTCTTCTAATAGTTTATTTTCTTTTTTTGTCTTGCATTCTTTTGTTAATGTTTAATCCTGTTCAAATTAAGTTAAGTAAAAAGCCTACTTCTGATCATGTATTACTTGCCATATTGTTGTACAGATTATACTTAAATAAATAGAAAAAAAACTATTTAGGAGGATCTACTGGCAGAAATGGAAAATAATATTTATAGGATTTCTTCATTAGTGTATAATCACCTCAATATAGGAATGATTGGGTTTTCGTTACCTTAGAATGAGACATTTTTATCTACAAATGTTTATCGCCTTCCATGGAGTTTGCCATGCTGAAAAGCAATGTTTCTACAGTAGCCCAGAATGTACAAACCTTTCGATCTTTTTTGTGATTTTTGCGGCCATGATAGATTCACTTATACGCTTCACAACCAGTTCTCACTCCCAGGCTGTCAAATACAGACTTGAGCTATGTTAACATAAGATTAGATGTAAGATAAGATGTTCCTTTATTGATCCCTTGTAGGAGAAATTCAAGTTAGGCACATCAGCACAGGGGAAATGTAATGCAAATAGCAATAGCAAATTCACCATGAGTTTGTTTGACCAACCTATAGTTTGGGATTGCTTCATGTTCAAAAGTTATTTAAATGTTGTTGCAGTGTGGATGCTAATGGCAGTTAAAGATGTAAGTGAAATCAGAGTAAGAGAGTGATCTGCAGAGCTCTAGACTTCAGACCTGGGCTTAAATGGATTTAAATCACAAAAATGTGCTGCTCAACTTTTGAGACTCAACATACTCAACTGCCTGAAGATGGCTCTTGACTTTATGCAATTATGTAATCTTGATAGCTTTTTTATAAAGCATTAAACCAGTAAACAACAAGATAAAAATGTTTCTAGAGCAAGTCTAAAAGTCAGTTTTACAGGGCGTGTAACATGGTTAGTATTTTAGAACTGTAACTTTATTATGTTAACAGGTTAAGCACATGATGAATATATGAATGAATGAGCAAATTAATTAATGGATGAATGTGAATGGATGCAGAGGTGGAAGACATGTATAATCACCATTTCTAACCAAGAAAAACAAAAAGCTGTCCAGATTCACACTGTAGTTCTTTAGATTAGTTTGTGTGGGCGTGTGTGTGTGTGAGTATTGTGTAGGCGTGTATCTCAAGTACACACACACATACACACACTTGTGCCCGCAGGGTCATACAACCCCTTTTAACAAATTGCAGGCTACACTATACATCCTGCCAAATGGCCATAGATCCCACTACAACACCGAACACACACACACACACACACACACACACACACACACACACACCTCCACCTCTGAGGTTGTTGGCATGGTAACTACTGAGAGGCGTCCAGGCTCTCCAAATTCCTGGTTCTTCCCTCTTTTTCTGTCCTTGGGAATCATTCCACCACAAGTTACATGTTCTATGTTTCAATGCTGTGGAGCCTGTACACTCACTGGAATACTGAGTGGACAGGACCAGGGTCACTGGGTCTATTTTTGTGTGATTTTTATGCACCAAGGCAAATTCCTTGTACGTGTAAAAACGTACATGGCAATAAACCCGATTCTGATTCTGATTCAAATAAAAAACACAGAGACGCTCCGAAACCTCACAGCTATCTGGTCCGCTGGAACCAACTCCTTTAAACCACATTGTAGGGCCCCGTAGGGCCCTGTACAGCTGCACTGTTCCAACCTTTGGGCATGCTTTCCTACGTTACTAGCTAGCAGTTTGTTTACGCTAGCAAGCTAACCATAGCCAGCTAAAGCCACACTATCATTTCACAAGCTTTTGCAGTAATGTTAAAGTGAACATACAGGTATCAAATGAAATTGGATAACCTATCACGTCCATTGTTATCAACCATGTCATGCTAGTATACTGGGAAGGGAGCTAAATCACACTCAGAATCCAATAATTTTGACAATGGAAAAAAACTGGCATGGACTTTCTCAAGTGATCCCTTGACCTTTGACCTCAAGATATCTGAATGAAAATGAGTTCTATGGGTACCCACAAGTCTCCCCTTTGCAGACTCGTCCACTTTATGCTAATCCTGTGCAGTTTGGGGGCAAAAACCATGCAGTTTTTGAATGTGTTTTTTTCGCCTAGTGTATTTAAATATCTCTAAACAGTGTTGGAATTGCATAAAGTAGGAATGACTGGAAAGCTCAGACACATGTCTCATGCCACCCCTGCATAACTCAGTGCTCCACTTCAGTGAAAAAAGTCTGGAAACCCCCCTGGTATGGATAAGTTAAATATGGTGTAATGTGTGTTGGCTGGTGCAGCCAATCAAACCAAGGAAACCCTGTCGCGCTGATTTGCGTTTCCAATACCAGTTGTCTTCCAGAACAAAAAATATAAGCATTCATTAATCTGATGGTACTATCAGAAGGGAAACAGCATTTGTCAGTGGATGATCTATCTCCAGACGGTGAAAATGTTGATAAAATGCGATGTGACTGTAATACCTCTGCTGTATTTTTACAATATAAAACAGACCTTTTGGGGAGCCCAGTTTGCTCAGTTAGTAGAGCTCCCATGAACCGAGGCTGAGTCCTTGCTGCAGCGGCCCAGGGTTCGAATCTGACCAGCAGCCCTTTGCTGCGTGTCATCCCCTCTCTCTGCCCCCTTTTCCTGTCTATCTTCAGCTGTCACTATCAAGTAAAGGCAATAAAAGCCCCCAAAAATATTTCAGAAAGACAGACCCTTTGTAGTGAAGAACAAACACAATCAGTACAACAGTGGGTGGTTTCTCTCAAGGTTACAGTTCTACGGTACAGGTACAAAAGCCCCATCCATCTAGCTTTTTCTTAGAATTCAAGGGTTTTCTTTCCTTTTCACAGAGCACAACAGAGCTGTTTACAGCAGCACAATGCTGCCACAGATTGGTGGAAGAACCAAGCGAACTCACATGCAGCTGCAGTATGCCCTATATCTCTTCCAATGTCTTAATTTCCTTCCTTCTCTCCTGTTTCCACTGTCTTTTCTCAATTCTTATGCTGCAAGTCAGTGCGAACAGATAAACTGGACAATGACAAGAAACAACCGAAAGAGAGGACACATTAAGTCACTGAACAACTGTTCCTCATACATAATTTATAACATGATTAGATAGAACAATGAAAGAGCTGAAATGTGACTACGCCTAAAAGGTTTCCCTGAACGATCACCAGACTGAATTCACTGACAGGTATACTGGTTTGGTTGACGGATGGCTGGTTGCAAAAAAGGAAAAATCTTCACAAAATACAGAACTAATTATGGATGATTTCCTGGAAATTGTATGTGCTCGTTGAGTTATTGTGCTGACAGATAAAATAATATCCCTATACCATCATACATGCTGTTAATGAGTTGTTCTGAGCCAATATTAACCTCACATTTTTGCCCTTTAAGAATCTTGCTACAAAAGGTTCAGTGTGAGACATTTAAGAGGATCTATTAAAATACGAATCATTGTGGTTTTTACCTTATATGAGCCGTTTTTATCTACAGACACTGCGATTTGTGTTTTTACAGTAGCCCAGAACTGACAAACCAAACACAGGTACTAGATAGGGTGTTTTTTGTGCACTTCTTGGCCAACCATAATTTCTTCTTCGCACTTGGAAAGGGAGGGCTGACCAAGTAGGAAGGTAACTAAGTTATAAAATAAATTGCGATGCACATATGTGAAGATCTAAAATGGGGACATGAACAATTAATTGTGGTACTCTTTTTAAACAGCAGAGGGCGCTATCACTGCCTCATAGAGTCCAAAGTTTCATGGCCTACATAACCTCCGTAACCCATATCCCCCTTTTTAGTTTTGTCCCCTCTCATTACTATGTCGATGTACATTGGCTTGAACAAATAAAGATTCTGGAATTAGGGAAAATTTAAGGCTGATACCGGAGCCACCAGCCATCCCCTGAGGATGTTTTAATTTGATAAAGAAAATAGAAGAGAATATATTTAATTTTTTTTTTCTGAGAAATAAAGTCATAGTTTTTTACATAATTTGTCTTTAATACCATTTTGTTAAAAAAAATCATGAGAAAATCATATGATAAACCCAGTGTTGTGAATTGTATCAAAATCGTTACCTTACTATTACTAAGATATTCTCACTGATGTAACCAAAACACCATTTGGTTGTTATCTCTGTAAATTCCAAGATATTACTACATATCCATAAGTAATAATCTGATGATCCAAAAAAACATTCTTTTAATTTTAAGCATTTTTATTGTAGAATTCCAGACAGTGTTAAAACTTATTTTAAAAATATAAAAAAAATGATGCACAGGTCTAACTGCCACAAACCACAACAAACAGTAACTAGATTGTTCTTACAAAACACTACAGTTCATAGAAAATATTTGTTACACGTCACAAAAATAAGGTTAAACACATCGATTCAGCTAGTAAGCAATACATCGTTAGTGATGATCATTGATTGATTGTTGTCCACCACGTTAGTTTTATTTGTTAGTCAGACACTTGCAACCTTACACAGTTTATACAGCACAATGTTTCAGTTTCTTCTGATTTAACATTTCTAGAGAGCAAAACAAACTACAACAAACTGTATATGACATAACACACCCCAAAGCTAAATACACTCGATTAACACAAACTGCACTCAAATAAAATCAGGTTGGTTCGTTTTCCTCCATTAAAATGCGTTTGATCTGTTCAACATCTGTTTTTACATCAGCAGATTGTCAGTGTTTGTGATGACTGGGAGGGACGTTTATAATGAATTGTGACAGGCAGTTGGGGGCCCCATTTGTGAAAAGGTCATAATTTATCAAAAGTTCGTGTTAGCAAAGTTTTCATTTTATGACCAAAGTAGCTGAAACTTTGACTCCAAATATTCAGTTATATTTGAAAATGGAATATGCTTTATATTTGTGCAGCTCAAAGTTGATAATAAAATCCCAAATATTTTTAATAGTGAGCTGCCTGGTGCCTCCCGTATGATTAAAAAAACAGCTTTATATACAGGGTTTCTGCAGGTTTCAACAGGTTACATCTAAGACCTTTTAAGATCTTCTTACGGCCACTATGAATGCACTTTAAGACCTATTATTCAGCACTTAACATTTAAAAGCGAGACTGAAAAATGCAGCTGTATACAAGTAACGTTAAAGCTGCAATGGGCAATTTTCATCAAAAATAAACTTTTTGTCATATTTGCTGTAACGTTTACTTTATCCTGACAGTAGTACTTGAGACATATCTTTCTTGGCCCTGATTGGTTGTTTTCGTTCAGGCCCGTGGATTCTTCCTATTACAATTCTTAGCACTAGGAAGAGCCAGAGGAAGCTGATTTTTCACAGATTATCTGTCTCGTGTTCTACTGTCAGGATATAGTGAAAGATTCAGCAAATATGACAAAAAGTTACTACTGTAGCTTTAACTCCACTAATCAATCAATCAAGACCTGTCAAAATCACATTTAAGACAATTTAAGGCCAGACTTTTTTAGAACCCTGTGGACACCCTGTATATAGGTAGTTGTCAGATTGTGAACTCGCGCCATCGTGTATCAAAGATGAGCTTTACATTTCCATCATGATTCCTGTCAACCCTCAAAAAACTTGACAAAGAACGAGCAGACAGAGTGCCATCCCTCGCTGCAGTAAGTCTGCACCGGCTCCATGTCGTTCACCAATCCTTCCTCCTCAAACCCAGTCCTCTCCTCCCTCTTCTTCTTCTCCTCTTCTTCCTCCTCTTCCTTCTTCTTCCTCTGTTCTGCCTTTCCTCCGTTTGAGCTCTTGCTGGCTGGCGGCCCTTTCTTCTTTCCTCCTTCTTTCCCACCCTTCCTCTCCTCCTCTCCACTGCGTTGGGCGAGCTTCATGTGGGCCTCGGTGGGAGACTTCTTGCAGGTTTTGGCTTTCAGGACTTTTTCTCCTTCGCAGGCGTTCTGCCTCTTCTTCAGCTTCCCCACCAGCTGCTTCCAGTACTGGCTGGACTTCACCCCGTAGGCCTGGCAAAGGTCTGGTTTACCAGCGTACCGACACCAATACCTGGAGGAGGAGCAGAAGAAGAATGAAAAGGTTTAACAAAGACAAAGGTGAGTAGAAGTCAAGGAAGGAAATGGAGATGAAATGAAGAGTCCATAAAGGTTTTAATTGGACAAAATTGTTGTCACCTGTTTCTCATTAGTTTCCCCACCTGTAGAGTATATATTCCCTGTGTTACTTCCGCTCAGTGACAGTTCGTCTTTGTACCTTTTCCTTCCTGTTGTTTATTACCCTGGTTTGCGCATCACTGTTGTTTGACCCTGCCTCTGCCTGTGCCCATTTGGATTTGTTTGCTTGTGTACCGGACCTATTTTCTGGCATTTGGGTCCTATTTTCTGTGATCATGGCAATGTCCACGAAAGGTTACCCGTAGATAAAAACATCTCATACTAAGGTAACAAAAACACAATGATTGCTATACTGAGGTGATTATACACTAATGAAAACATACCTATGAATATTTTATTTCATTTCTGCCAATAGATTCTCCTAAATGTTACACACTGGAGCTTTAACTATGTGTGTTTAAACTGAAAATACTGAAGACTAAATAATAATAATAATAATAATATATTTGCACAATTATGGTGATTTTCTTTTTGTAGAAAAAATTAAGCTAAGAAAAAAGATACCAAATCCAAGTGAAAATGTGGATTGATCGATATGGAAAAAAGAAATGTTTTTCAACATGAACCTAACCACACGTACAAAATGTGAGTCCTGAGTTATGCTGCTATTGGCCAGAACTGTTGGGGGACTTCCCATGGTGCACTGAGCTCCTCTCTTCCTCTCTCTCTCTCTGTCTGTACACATTTATACATTTGTACACATTATTGCATGTTACTAACTAACTTCTTCCTCATAAAAAGACATTTTTCCTTGCCACTGTCAAGTGCTTGCAGTTTAGACCTTTCTGTTTGTGTGTCCTGAAATAACTTTTGTTATGATTTGATGCTGTACAAATAAATAAAATTTGAAATTGAATGGAAGATAGATCCTGCTAGAGATGAACTCAAATAAACTTGCTTGGATCAGCTCTTCCGTCTAAATCATAAATATGTAGCATAAATCTTCTCTATTAGGAAGTTGTCCAGATACTCAACACAGGTAATGCTTGGAATAATAAGCTCCAGTTTTGAGTCTCACTAAGTAAAGTCTCAAATTATTTAAATGACTGCAAATTACCATCATGTTGATGTAAATTTAAGGGTATTAAAGCGGAATTACATCAGTGTCCTAGTAAATGTATGTCGATTGTGTGTATTAGCAAGAAAATGGCGATACGATACGTATTACAATATAGGGGGTAAGATTCAATATATTGTGATATATTGCAATACTGTAAACAAACAGAAAATGTAGGAAAACTGTCATTGTATAAAGAACAAACCAACATATGCATAAAGTCTGAGTAAAGAGAAGTTTACAACACTGCTATCTAGTGTTTGGGGGTTTAAACACAAAAATCGAAAGATTTAAAAGAAAAGCACACCTAGCATTGAAAACAAAGAGAGCTGTATATGCTTGGCACAAATGTACAAACAGACATAAATATTTAATATTGCCGTTAATGCTTCTCTCACCTCTGCTGGTCTCCCAGTGTCTCAGTGCTACAGTTCACCATCAGGCTCACCAGGCCTTCACCAGACGTCTGCCAAGTGCAGCGATGGCCCTCCTTCGTGGTCAGATCTCCGGAGCCAGGCACTGAGCGGTTTCTAGGTCTCTTGGCCGGTTGCGGTGACGGTGGGGGCTGGCGGGGTTTGTCGGGTTTTCCCTGACCAGGCTGCCGCTTGGCCTCTGTTAGGACGGGGAGGCAGAGGAGGAGGAGGAAGAGGAAACTGCATGGGAGGACACTCATAGTGGCTGGGAAGGGACATTTGGACAAGTGAGGGGGAAAAAAAGAGATATGTGAAGGTTTATTTTTTTTAAAGTCAACATTTTTGGGTCATTTTGATCATAGTTTTAGTTTTGAGGCACATGTACTGAATGCAGGACAGTGGACCAAAAAATTCTACTCACTATCTTAGTTTAACATGTTAGCATGCTAATATTTTCAGATTAGCACTAAATACAAAGCACGTCTCATAAACCAAACTCCTGAATAACTCAAAAGGCCCTATCTATAGCTAGCATTTGGTTTGTCTGTTCTGGGCTAGAAACATGGTGGTTCTACATGGTGGCCTCTGTGGAAGAGGAGCCGCTCCTCCATTTGACAAAAGTAGTTCATTCTAGGATAACAAAAACCCAATGATTCAGATTTCCAGATAATATATTATGGTAATGGTAATCTATCCAGCAGTTAGGATCATTTCGTAATTTCACTCAAACTGACAAATGTATGAAAATCTATGAAAAGTCATGGGATCACCAAAGTCATTAGCCTTCATCCTCTGAGGACCATTAATATCTGTAAACTGGATCCCACATGTTCCATAATGCAACTCATGGATGTATAAAGGTCTGGACATAGCGCTGGAATCATCAAACTCTTAAAAAAATGTATTCACAGTTTTAACAGACGCTTCTTTTATAATGTGGGCCAATGTGCATCATGTGATGGACACCGTTGCTTTAAATACACAGTTTGGCCACTATGTCAAACTGGCTTCAAAGCCTGGTGCTGTTCCTAACCCTCACCCAAAACATAATTGAAGTTTAAAGTATTAAGTCAACACGGTCTCATTTGCTAACGTATGTAAGCAATGTAATTTAACTAACGTAATGCATTTAAATTACGTCAGGGGCGGGGAGTCGCGAGGCCTTTCTGATTTTAAGGTGTGGAAGAAAACTTAAATAATATAGATGGTATGCCTATATCTCAGCATTTCGTTCACTTCTGTGAAGAAGCCGATTTAGTATGTAGGATTGTTTAAAGATGATAAAATAAATATATAATACAGACAGAGAATTGTATAAATATTTCCCTAAACAGAAAATAATCTGCTCAAAATTCATCCAAATCACTCGTTTAACACAAACTTCTTGCAGTTAGTGAGTTCACTGTTTGGGTTCACTGTACAGTTTTGAATATATAATCTGAAATATCCAGAAATTAGTCACTCAGTCAGGGGTCGTCAGTTTATTCAGTGATAGAAAAGGGGTCTTTTAAGGAAAAAGGTTGGGTACCACTGCGGGTTGCCTTCAGTGCAGGACACCATGTTGAACCGCCATGTTTCTACAGTAGCCCAGAACGGACAAACCAATACTGGCTCTAGATAGGTCAGTTTGTGTTTTTTGGAGGCGAATGAAAGGGAGTTGCAATCCGCAATTACACCGCTAGATCAAGGTTCAAGGTTATTTTATTGTCATCTACGCAAGAAATTGATTGAATCATTTAAAAAAATCCTAATGATGAATTGTTGAGGAAGAATTAAAGGTCTTACACATTAGACCTTTAGTTTTGCCCACACTGTTTCTCAGCTTAGTGGTTGTGTGTTTATTCAACTGCATTTGCACTCTAAACTAGACTAACTAAATTAGATTCTGTATTAATGATTGAAAACATTCACATCCTGTGCATCATGGTGCCCTCGGATCGGTGTATAAACACTGAACAGGTTGCCTCCCTGCACCAACATATCGTTAACTATGTGATACAGCGAGAACAAAACAGCTTGTGTGGTGCCATAATTAATCCCATTAATAATAATTTAAATTAAATCAAAAGTACATTGTGCTCCAGAGCATCGTGTTGTTTTTGTTTCAGTTGAAAGCAAACCGAACAAACAAATGGATGATAATCATTTTTAATATTTATATTTACATTGGGAACACAAAAGCCAACCAAACTGTTTGTTAATCCTGCACTGGATGTACCAAGGCAGCTACAGTTCCCACTGTGCTCAGTGAATTGCATGATACAAATGTTTCAATCACATGGTGTGTTATTGCTAATTAAACCAATGCCACCAGGAATATGCAGTTCTGACAAGTTCTGCAGGTTTTGGAACGTACAACTCAGATTTTCCTCTTACCATGTATGTAACTCGTTTACCACTAGACTAAACAAAAACACAAAATACACTTCCTACACAATAAAGACCTTTCTTCTTTTAGTAGGCAAGATTTTAACATCCTGACATACAAAAAACATACATGCCTTTTTTGTTTGGGTGGCAAGTGAATGAAGTACCACACAATGGCATTGTACACAATACAACTGTAGTCTCTCTTTTAATTTATCCTTCCCTCTTGTTTTATCTTCATGTGATTGGGTATGGTTATTCCCATGTGTATATTTGTTGTTTGTAAAGCACTTTGGATCTATGTGTCAAAAAGGTGCTATATAAATAAAGCTTTACTTACTTACTTACTTACAACTAACATTCATATTTCACACATTTTGTTGTGGTTGAATACAATTTGAAAGAGAGATTCATCGTCCATCCTGTCACCTATTGAGCTGCCTGCACTAAATGTAAGCATCTTCCTCGTTGCTGCCCTAACCCTTCATAGTATAAATACACACCACCAAATGTATCCTTTGTATTTCTCACAGTCAGTATAATATTAGATAGATAGATAGATAGATAGATAGATAGATAGATAGATAGATAGATAGATAGATAGATAGATAGATAGATAGATATTCCTTTATTTGTCCTACAATGGGGAAATTCCAATGCTACAGCAGCAAAGTGGATAGAGACAAAACAGTACAAAAACAGTAGGAGTAGGGAAATAATAAAAACACTATGTACAAGAGAAAAAACAGTAAGAATCCACAACAACAGATAACACAAATAGTAGCAGCAAATATTCAACATCATAGCCCTAAGTTTACAGTAACACTGCTATCTAACAGTTGGGGGTTTAAATATAAAAATCAAGTGTTTTTTGAGAATCAATACAACATCACAAAAATAAATATGACGATACGATATTTTTAGATATTTTTCTCAAAACCCTCTAAATTACAGTAAAGAAATTACTGATTTTGAATGGTGATACGTTATAATGGTATAAAGATGATAATGTGCTCTGGCCTGTCTATCTTGCGCAGCAAGTCAAGTAAGTATTTTATTCATTTTAGTGTCTCACTAAGTATAAATAGATTATTTATATAGATATAAAAAAAATTTGTAAAATGAAAACATTTTTGTGTTTAAGTGACCCTGAAGGGATCCGATGTTCAATATAACACAGATATTCTGTTCTGAAGAGGTCTGAGGTGACTGTCGGGATTGCCGTTCTGGCTAAAAGAATCAACAAAACAGAAAATTATCTGGCAACAATACAATAAGCTGCAAATCTTTTAAAAGAAAAAAGTCTGCTATTAATTTCTGCAGCTGTGTTATCCATATACTAACCTTTTCACATTAAAAAAATGTTATAAATAACCTGGTTCAGAGGTTGCACTATTTGGGTTTTCTCTTTCCCTACTAGACCAGAGTGTTTCCATGCAACGCACTATTATGTATATAATGGTAATCACAAAGAAAGTTATTTAAAGGATCTGGAAGTCAGATACTGTGCCTCCGTTTAAGACATACAGAGAAAGTTCTATATGGCATGATGGACAGTCTTAAACATTTTCTGATAATATGGCAGCCATTTCTAGGTCATTTTGCTCAATGTGACGCTGAACCTGACCAGCAGCAAAATCCAGTGTGCAGTCCACCTCTCTCATTGAGTGCTTGTGCTAAGAGGTGTTGTGCTAGTGATGCAGCAGTGTAATTAATTATTTACTTTAAATATGCCATTTTTTTTCTGTCCTTTGTTTCTACTTTGTTTTTTGTTTTCTGATTAGTTTGTTTTCTGCACTGCATCTTGGAAAACCCCACAAAAATATTATTAAAAACTTTATATATAGTCAACTTTATATATAATAGTGTCCCTTTCTCCCTCTCAAATTTGGTACAGTAGGATTTTAGGATTTTTTTACCGTTTAAAATATTCAGGATTTTTTCCCCCACACAAGTTTTATGTTCACCATAAAAATAAGAATAAAAAACAATTACAAAATGACAGATTAAACAGATCTCAGTCACTCTTCTACTGCAGCATTTTAACAAGAGTTCCCAGGAGATGAAAAACAAAGACGCACTGCACCAAAACAAAAATAATCCCCTTTCCAAGCACACCCACCCCCCACTCCCTCAAATACACCCCTCATCAATAAGTCATGACAAAAAACAATTCTTTCCTCGTTATGTGCGTCACTCTAATATTTGGTCTGACAGTTTTAGGAAGAAGCAGAGATGCGGAGTAGTTTAGTGTTCGAGGTTTGTTGTTTAGTTGTTTAGTGTTCTTACCATGTGACGCTCCACGGCTCTGAGTCGCTGTGAGAATGTGGGGGCCACGAACACTTGGATAAAAGAGGGGAGAAGACGAGGATAAAGGAGGAGGGGGAGGAGGGGGGGGGATAGGGGGAAGTGGTGGGGGGACTATACGAAGAACTGCCCACCCAAAACCAAAGGCACCTCCCACATTCACCCCTCCTGACAAAACCCTATATATGTTTGTGTGTGTGTGTGTGTGTGTGTGTGTGTGTGAGAACAAGACAATGGACACTCTAAAGGTTTCTCACTCTGTGCGACACTGACGGCACCTCAAGTGTTTTGATGCTTCAGTGTCATTCAGCTCTCACACAAAACGCTTCTTTGTGCATCCCTGGAACTCTTTTTATAAAGAAGATACTGTAAATGCTTCAACTGCAACTCTTGATTTTATTTTTATCTCGTTGAAATTTTGTTGTACATGTGAAGGCACCACACTTTTATTTCATTTTAATATCCGTAGTACATATATTTAAAAAAACAACATGTTGCAACCCTGTAACACTCACAGTGACAACGGTCCATCTCCGTTTGCCTGGCCTATGAGTCGCAGTGCCACATTCTCATTCTATGGTCAAGTTAGCAAGAATAAATATGCATTTGTTTCCAAAATAAAGCTCACAGGTTATGTCCCTTGCTTCATCTTCCCCTTTTAAGCTCAAAGGAGAAACTACAGTGTCCACGAAGTACGCAAAAACACAAACACCCCTATCTAGAGCCAGTGTTTAGTTTGTCCCTTCTGGGCTACTGTGAAAAGATGGTGGTTCAACATGGTGGACTCCATGGGAGATGACCCATGGCGTCTAAAGATATAAAAGATCTATAAAAGACTAGATCCTAAGGTAAAAGAAAACTAAAAGATTCCTATATTCAGGTGGTTATACACATATGAATATTATATTCCATGGACTGGACCTTTAACGCTAATCTGTGGTTTCACACAGGACACAGGACTTTTACTGCCCCTTCCTACATGCGTGTTCATACAAACATTAAGAATTTACAAACCAGTAAATCCAGATTCTTTATGCACAGTTTGTATTTCTTAACTTTATATTTACCACTTCCTAGGTTGAGTTTTTTCACCCACACCAGGTTTGAATTTGGGCAAACTGGTATGTGAGGTGTATGAGAGCTAAAACTCAATGAACTCTGAAAGTTTGGGAAGTAGAAAAGTTCTGAATCTGAGGAAATTTAAGATTAAGATTTGTATAAAAGTCCCACACACCTTCAATTATTAATAGTAAAAGTAATAATTGGAATAGCGAACAGATAAGCTACGTTGTTGTTGTATGTTGATGTATATGTGCCAGACTCTCAACATAATTTAAAAGATTAAAGGAATAAACCCCATGTAAACATCAACATAATAGTTAATAATGTGATTCTCTGGCTTGTCAGGGTAAAAAGAGCCAATTTCATTTACTTTGTGCCTGTAAGAATATCAGTGTTTTTAAGCAGCCATATCTTCGGGTACCTTTATTGAAGCCTCTGTAAGCAAGTATGTGCAGGTCAAAAGACAAAAAGAAAGGGTGAGGTTACAACTGGGCTTAATTTAGTGGAACATTTTTAGACGTTTACAATACAATAGCTGTTGTTTTAGCATTTATACTACTGTATTTCAGCGTAACGCAGCTCTAAACTACATGTAGTTGAGATGACTATGGAAAACACCAGGGAAACTGAAACTGACTGTTCCTCCTTAGTCTGAATGGGACATGAGCTCCTGCAGTGCAGTGGCCTTTGCAGCACAAATCTAGAGCCGGTTTTAGAATGAGAAATAAACAAAAACAGTATAAACAAATAGTTATGGTGAGCCATGAATCCCCCAAATAATCCATAATGCATGACCTGTCGCATGAAAGCACATCAAAACTCAAAGTCACTTTTTCTCCCATTCTACTGGCCCAAGTCTCTCTCTCTCTCTCTCTCTCTCTCTCTCTCCTCTCTCTCTCTCCTGTCACTGTATTTAAAACAGTAAGTAACTCGGCCCTCAGCAAGATGAATGAGGAGAATCTTCTCTGTCCTCCAGGACAAAGACTTGTGCAGAAATCTGGGTCACAGCTTAACCCCCCGCCGACACCCTGTCATCGCCGCCCAGCTCCTTCTCATTCAGCTCAGGGGTTGGTGGAGATCCGAGGACTGCTCTTTCCCTGCACACGCTGCCAAAAATCTGCTTGGCTAGAGGAGGATGCTCTGAAAAACAAGCCAACAACTGCAAACATGTCGTTCCGCCCAGTCTGGGCCAATCAGGAACAAATATTTCACCTTGTTTTCAGCTGTAAGTGCACTTCACTCTCGAGCCGCGCCGCGTCAGTTTGAATGGCAGAACACAGCGATAAGAAGCATCATTTACTCAAAAGCACAACAGTGGTGTCAGGAAACGAGGGAGATGTTTTTCATCAATTTGTCTTGTGTGTTTGTTTTTACACCAAAGAAAGTTTTTATTTCACGTTACATGTTTTTTGCTATTGAATTGATATATTTTATTTTTTTGAGCTAGTGATTAAACATTTAGTCAATTAACTGATTGCGACTGGCAAAAAATTAACCGACAACCATTTTGGAAATTCCTGTTTAAGTTGTATTTAAGGCAAAAATGTAAAATGCTTGCTGGTTCCCTCTTCTCAAATGTGAAAATTTGCTGCTTTCCCTGTTTTATATCAGTAAAAATTCTATATTTTGGAGAGTTTTGGATTGTTGGCTGAACAAAACAAGCTATTCTGGGGCACATTTTCTAAACCAAATCATTAATGATCTGTTTGTCTGTGTGCTAATTTACTGAATGATTTGTGTGTTTCTTACTGAGCTTTTGTGCACATTAGGAAGTGTGTGCGTGCGTGCGTGCGTGCGTGCGTGCGTGTGTGTTTGCCTCGACGCACTGGAGAACAGATATGCAGCTGGGACTCTGTTGCCTCCTACTGGTGCTTCCTAGAAACAAATACAATCAAGAGACACTTCAACTGGTAATCTGTTAGAGGAAACAGTGTGATGTGCATGACATCATCAAGCAAATCCACCCAACCTTTCTACCAAAGAAAGACATTTTAATTACTTATTCCTTTGTTTTCAAATCAACTGTAGATTTCACATTTTTTGCAAACATCTTCACGTTTCTTCATGCCACAAATCAACTGCAAACATGAAGTAAAATAAGATACTTGTAATAAAAGCAATAACAAAATCAGCATTGTATCACCTCAAATATATAGCTAATGTTAGGACAGTTGTAAAAAGAAAAGACTTGGAAAAGCTGATTCATGATTATCATACTATTTCTAGCAAAATCAACTACTGCAGTGCAACTTTTGACAGGACTTCCTAAAAAGACCATCAGGCACCTCCAACTCATTCAAAATTCATCAGCAAGAGTTTTATTACTTGTAGATAAATCGATACATTGCCCTGAATGCATACACGATATGCTTGTGTTATATAGCCCAGTAAGACTTAGTATATCTCTGAGGAGTGCAGTGCTAGTGGTGCCGAGGGTCCGACCCAAACAAGGAGAAGCAGCTTTTAGTTACTATGCAGCACAGCACTTGAACCAACTGCCTGATGGTCTTAGGAACAGTGCTGGGCTAGTTATTAAAAAAATTACTAAATAATAAAAAATAAATAATAAAAATATTATTAAGTTACTTATTACTCTCTGCCAACAGTAATTAGTTACACTACAATTTTATATTACTTTTCTGCTACTCCCAACAAAATTGGTAATTCTGGGACTTCTCCCCAAAATCTACACTTACGATGATTAGAAGTAATGGGAATATTTCCTGCTGAATGTAAGCGTTTCTATCTTCCAAATTAGTTTTTACTGTGGAAAATAATATTATTACTGTAATATGAGTACTGAATTAGTACCCAATACTGCTTAGCAATGCCACAACCACTGGTTTTGTTTCGTTTGGTTTTTAAAGATATTTTGGTTTTTTTTTTATGTCTTTATTTTGATCGGAGAGGTGACATGAAAGGGGGGTATGACATGCAGCAAAGGGCCACAGGTTGGAATCAAACCCTGGCCGATGCAGTAAGGACTCAGCCTACATGGGGCGCCAACTCTGCCAAGTAAACTACCGTGTGCCCCACCATTACAGTTTTTAAACCCAGACTATAAACTCTGCTATTCTCAAGCAGTTTTACCTAAATGTTTTGAAAACATCTATCTTTTTATTATGCTTTTTATCATTTAAGTGGGTTGTTTTAATTCTGGATTGTGTTATTTTTATCTTTGAGCTATACACTGTACACCACCTTCAATCTACCTTTGTTTATGAAACGTGCTTTATTATTAAACTGCCTTGCCTTGTCTAATAGTCTTATATATGCAGATTAAAGACACACTTTCATTTATGCTATAGGGTTTGTTCCCTATGTGATGGAAGCTCGATTTCAACACCTGCTACCAATTTTTATCTCCTCTCCTTTTTTTACAGTTTTATGAAATGTCTCCCACAAGACTGAAAACCTGACAGAGCGTCTGCAGGGTCACTATCTTGTCTCCAACTGTCTATATGTGTGTCTGTGTGTGAGAGAGAGAGAGAGAGAGGGAGAGATGAAATGGTGATAACTCCTGAGTCCTTGACAGCAAACAGAGGCGTCCACTTTCTAGTTCTCAACAGTCGTTGAGAGGCGGCCGCAATCAGCGCTCCACCGTCGCCGTCACCTCCTCTGCCGTGATTACTGCAGTGATTATGACACCAAACCACGACCTCGAGTGTGTGAGTGTATGTGTGTGCGTGTGTGTTTTAGAGAGGCAAAAGGGCAATAGATAGAAGGTGAAATGGAAAGAGAATGAAAAAGCTGCCTGTCATTGAAAAACCATTTAAAGCTGAGAGAACTGTCCTTTGTTGGCATGTTTCAACTGCTAATGATGTAAAGGATGTTACTGTATGTCTCAGCTGAAATGACCACTTTTGATGTGGAGATTCATACCTCTTTTATTTGCAATTTTTGTTCATATGAATCTATATTTTTACATTTATTTTTTAGTGTGCTGTTAAAGCTATATATAACATTTCTGCATTAAAACATCTACACCAAACTTATGTTCTATATTTTATT